CCTTCCTTCCTTCCTTCCTTCCTTCCTTCCTTCCTTCCTGAAAGGGGTCCACACCTGCGTGAGATGGGACCCAGGGCCACAACGGCCCACCTCCTACCCCTGCTCACGTGTTTCACTCTTCACACCCTGTTCCACCTTCTAGGATCTAAACGGGGCACCACCGACCTTCTGGGGCAGCTGCCTCGCAGAAGGCACTTTGGGGTTGGAGGTTTCTCCAGCCCACATCTGTCAAAGCTCCTCCCCCAAAGGACTAGAAATGTGGGGCTTGTTAAAGGTGATCAGAAGGCAGCCCCGGCTCTGGCAGCAGGGCTCCCCCCTCCAGTCTCACCTCGCTGTTGTAGATTGCGTAGACCAGAAATATGTAGAGACCCTGTTTAAAAGAAAGAGAGAGAGAGAGAGAGATTGTTTATAAACAAAGATGCACTATCTGTGGTCATGCAGATATTTTTCAGACTACATTTCCCATCATCTCTCACAATGAGGGCAAAGGCTGTTGGGAGTTGTAGTACAATGTCATGTCTAGAGGGCTACAGGTTGCCCCATTTCTGTTTTAAAAGGAGACTGTTGCATATAGAGAGGGTTCGATTTCCCCAAGGCCTGCCATGCCGTTGAGCAAAAATGAGGCATCTGTGGGTATATCTATGGGGCTAGACTTGGGCTCCTTAAGTTAGCTGGCTGCTTCCACAGATAGCCGAATATACTATCTCAAAGCAAGCATTGAAGGATGATCCAACTGCTGGTCCCATCAGCCTTGATACCTGGAAGGGAAGACAGCCATAGACGCAGGTGACTCCAGAGTCATTGGGGCGCTGAGTCCATGCCAGGTTTTAGTCCAGATCTGCGGGCACTCTCCAAGCTCCATTCCCAAATAGTTTGAGTAACTTAGATAGCTCTTTTTAAAGTTTGGATTAAAATCCGAAGCAGATGGACCACTGTCACGACAGTGGACCCACTTGCCCTCACCGGAGAGGGTGCCGTTTTGCTCTTTGATTCTGCCAAGCCCAGCTGGCTTCAAGTTGGCCTGACTCTGCAAATGCCATCAGTGACTGACGGCCCTTCAGGTCGGCTGAGAGACATTCTGAGTTCAGAATTAAAGACCGTAAGAAGGGGAGGGCGGCCTCGTTTGGTTGTTTTATACGTGATCCAATATTCCAAAGAACCACCATCCACATCGAATCTAATGTGACTGGCATTTCTGCCCCCCCCCCATGAAACATGTAGTGTGAAGTTTTTTTTAATGCATTCTTAAAATGGTTCAAAATGTAGCATGAACATCTCAAAGCTGCTTTAAAATGCAGAGATTTAACCATGTTTGGTACTTTCTTAGACCTTACATTTTATATCTTTATATATATATATTTCTAAGCTGTGACGCAGTGACCTATGCAGACTGCTCCCGCCCTCCCACGCGCCCGCCCTCTCTCTTGCCCCTGAAATTTTGCTAACAGAGGGAGCCTGGCAAACTTGGCGCTCCTAATTACATTTCCAAGCCTCTAAATCATGAGGCTTGGAAAGACAGCTTAAAAAATTTACACCCTCCTGGTCATCTCCTTGTACTCTTTGCTCCGGGTTTATTTTATCAGGAGAGGCTGTGGCTTGTTGCTTCTCCGCCTGTCCTCCACCCCCTACCCCGACCCTTTGATCAAGATTTGCAACCAAGGCTTTAATTGGATCCGGCACCCCCTGAACCCATTCCAACTCCTCCATGGGGCAAATGCCGAGAGGAGACATTGCAAATGCTCCCGACGGCGGAGGCCCCAGGGATCTGGAGCTAGATTTTGCCCAGGAAGGGTGGAAAAGCACTTATTGATAAGGAAAGGTTACGTCGCTAGGCAGATCAATCTTTTCTTATGAGGCTTCTCTGGGCAGTTTTATTTCTCTAGATAAAGCTGAAAGTACGGGATCGTGGCAGGGTGGTTTGGTAGACCGTTCTCTCTTCCGCCCTGCAAAAGGAACTTTTTCAAACCCTTGAGTTGAATCATCAATATAGTTGAAGCAAAGATCTGACTTCCAGACTGGTCTTGAAATGGGGAGGGGAGCGCCATTTTGCCTTTGTCCTCAGGCAGCCAAAAGCCTTGGGGTGGCCCTGAGGGAAGAACAGGCGACGCGGGGTGTCTGGATATGGACCCAAAGGAAGAACGATGGGAGTGGGGGCTGAGTTAATTTCTTCTTCCCCTCTCTATTGGCTTCTCAAAGCTTCCTGATACCTTAGGGCGCGAAAAGCACTTTGTACATGCTCAGAGGTAAAGCATTTTGCTGTTGCGGCTGTTGCACCAGAAGCTACTGGTTAGATGGTCGGGGTGGCATTTGGGCTTTGTAGGAGAGGGAAAGCGAGATGATCAAGAATCTCTCTTAAAAGCTAACCTTCCGAGGTGACTCACCTGGAGGGAGTTCAGCACGATGAAGATGTAGGCCCAGGTGACGCTGAGATGAACGAGGATGCCACAGACCCAGGTGAGACCAAGGACGGGCAGCAAGACCAGGACGGGCTTCGCGGTGGCCCTGGCGAAAGGGAGCAGAAAGATACAGCGTGCAGAAATACAGAAAACAGAGCGTTAACTTAGCCACAGGCCACCCTCAAGTCTGGGGGAACATACCTTTGCACCTTCAAAATTTACACGCAGTTCCACAAAATAGCATCGTAAAAATCAAGGCATGTATTTGCCAGCCGTGATATTTCCATTGAACTTTAAGTAAATTAAACTTTGATTGGATCTGATCCCTTTTATTTTTATCACAAATTAAGCATGTCCATTTGTTTTGCAGGGAGGGGGGAAAGGGTATTCTGTTTTATGTGCAATCCTAAGCGCTGGTGTTCTTTGGCTTTGTGGTCTAAAAAAAAAATAAACTAAACTTGACTTTTCCAAAAAGGCAGCTCAAAGCTGTTCTAGCAGGGATCCAGTGGGGGAAAGGGATCGGTAAACAAACCCCATTCTGCAGCATCTCATGAAACGTCCCCTCCTGATATGGGGGGGTGAGGAAAGAAGCCTCGAAATCTAGGAGCTGCAGCCGCCGATGGAGCAGAAGATTTTGCGAGCTGAGCCTTATCTTGTTTTTCTTTTTCATTTCGTTTATTTTCGAAGTCAGTGGTTTCCCAACAAGAGGGAGAAGCCAAAACACCAGGGCTTCGCTGGAGACAAACCAGGAAGGTTTGCAGCCTTCTGCTGCTTTTGCTGGCCAGGCCGGTCCTCTGTTTATAAACACAAAGGAGCCTCAGAGGAAGTTCGTGACATCATCCGGAGGGGACCCTGCCTTTCACGCACTCCTTACCCCACGCCACAGGGATGTCACCCTGCCCTCCACGGCCAGCCTATGTCTTCAGAGCCCTGCATTGAGGCTGGCTTATTGATCCATCAGAGGGAACGGCGTGCGTCTGATGGCTCAGAAGTGGCGCTGGTGTAACAGCAACAAGCGATTCTCATCTCAGGGCCCTTATCAGAGTTTGGGGGAAAACAGTCTCCCGAACAGCAAGAGGGCAGAGATGACGAAAAGGGAGCGAGGGTTCCAAAAATGGAGTTGGCCGGAAAGTTTATCTGACGTCCAATTTAACTGATTTAAGCCAAGAGCCATTCTGTTAAAGCTGGTAGCCGGTGGGAGGAAAACACAGAAATACAAGGGGAAGCCAGCCAGCTCCCCCTTGCACAACAATAAAACCCTATTATTCACAAGGGGTCTATTCCTGGTGTGGGAAGCCAGCCAGCTCCCCCTTGCACAACAGTAAAACCCTATTATTCACAACAGGTCTATTCCTGGTGTGTAAACTGCAAACACAAATCACCAAATCAAAAGGAGACAGCCCCCCCCCCCGGCAATCTCTGTAACCAAGAAACTGGTGTCAGTTATGGGTATTCAATCTACTGTAATGCAACTCAATTGCATTTGAAATAGTGTATAACTAATAGAATCCATTAAATATAATAAAGTCAAACCGTGTAGTTATCATCATTCTAACCATTTGTAATATTGGGTTAGAACATTATTAAAACCCACGTTAGCATTAAAAAAAACCACAACCCAGGGACAAATGGCAAAGCCTTTAAACATAATTAGCATTGGTATTTTTTTTTAAAAGCATGCCATCGTGCCTTACGTTGAGCCACAGCTCTATGAAAAAGGCTGGATTATCAATAAAATAATGGCTAAATAAGTAAATAATTATAAATATATTTAGAACATATTCAATCATGCTGGAAAAAGGTAAAGAATTATCATATGTTGGCTTCACAGGAACACTAAGAGATTCTGCGTACTCTCAAGCAGTGGCTCCTAACCTTGGGTTACCCAGATGTTCTTGGACTGTGATTCCCACAAACCTCGTCCAGCACAGCTGGTGGTGAAGGTTTCTGGGAATTGTGGTCCAAGAACATCTGGGTTATCCAAGGTTGTAGACGAAGGGTGGAGACCTTTCAGCTTTAAGGGGCAGACACGGCCCGCAGCCTGATCATCGATGCTCCGTAGCCTAATTTCAAAAGCTCTGGTGCAGTTTAGCATTTCAACCTCTGCAAAAAGAGGGATCTGCTCCTTTCCTGGGAAGGATAGACTGCACACCTGGCCAGCTTTTCTTTTCTTCGATGCCCCATGGAGACTGGTAGCCCAATGACGGGCCCTGTAGACTCACCAAATCTGGAGGCCAATCTGCCTCTCCAGACTGCTGTTTGGGGTCAGCATCCGGGACCGCCGCCGTGCGCTGGACACTGTCACCACCACCACACGGAAAAGCACAAAAGTATTAACCTACGGGAAATGAGAGTGAGTAGTCGGGGGGTGGGGTCTCATGGAAGTAAATATGGAGTAGCCACTGGCCACGGGGAGCTGGTGGATCTCTTTATTTGGTTATATTTCTCTTTTGTTGTCCAGGAAAATCTGGAAATGCTCCCCAAGGCTCCCTTGAGGTCTTACTGTCAGGACGAAGAGGACGGGGCCGACGAAGGCCCAGATGATGTCCGTCTGTACGTTCAGCCAACAGTGGTTGTCTGCCACGTATTTGTTGAATGACGTGGCCAAGGTCACGCCGACGATCACGACCGGAAGTCCTAGAAAAGACAGTCCAGAGTGGCAAAAAAATGAAGGGCAGATGGTTTTATCTCACATCGGACCCACACGCCGGTGGCCCTATGTTGTCTTTTTTGGGGAAGGGCAGTCCTCCTTTTAAAGTGTCCTGGCTTTTGAGGAACCAACCAACACAAGTCGGGTTCAGAGATCAAGAATCTCAAGGAAGCGAAGGGGAACAGGGTCAGTGGATCTGGGATCCAGCGAAAAGAGGAAGGCGAATTTGAGGCTCAAACAATAACCCAAGAGAAAGCCAGCCGAGCTCTCTGGCTTTCCATTCCCCGCGCCCAGAATCCCCGAGCAGGACACAGACCCCATCCGGTCACGTAGTAAAACCTCATCCTCCGGTCTTCGCTCATGTTCACGGCCACCACTTTGCTCCAAAGGAGAAGGCCTTCGACGAGCATCCAGGCAAAAGCCGCCATGAAGAAGAGGTGTAAGAAGGCTGTGACAGCAAAGCACACCCCCTGGGGATAATCATCATCATCATCTTACAATTGCAGAACTGGAAGGGACCCTATGTACCTTCAAGCCCAGCCCACATCAAGGAGACACAGTGGGGCATTGAACTTCCAACCTCTGGTGAGAAGGAGAAGCAGAGGTCAACCCCGAGGTCTTCTGATAAAGAAAACCAGCGGCGTTTAGGTTTTCAAATTGTTATTTTCTGGTCTCTGCCCAACCAAGGGGCCCGGAAATTCGCCACCCCTCCTGTGGCCCTTCCAGCTTCCTACCTGATTAGTTTTGGCCAACTCACTGAACATGAGGAGGATTTCAGCGGCCGCCAAGGCAAAGATCAGGTTTTTGTGAACTGTCGTCCTCTCGCTCTTGGGAACCCTGCCAGAAGAGGGGGATCTGAACTCAGGACCTGCTCCTTTTCTCTGGGCTCCTATCTTTCCCCCCTCTTGTGCCAGCATGATGGGGGTTGTTGCCCCTCCAAAAGGGAACTTCCTTGGCCTTTGAGCAGGCGGTGACCCCCGACTCTTTCTCCGAGACAGACCAAGATTCAAGGAAGGAATGAGGCAGCCCCCGTGGGCTCAGCCTCCTCTTCCCCCTTCTCAGAGTCTTCAACTCTGCCCCTGTGCCGGCCTTACCCGACGGCCAAGAACAGGACGAAAGTGACAATGAGAGCACAAAAGGACACGCCGCAGCCCACAAACGTCAGGGTCTTCAAGATCGACTCCTCTTCGGCACTTCTCTGCTCCAAGAGAGGGGAAAAACTCGTCAAGGAAGGGGCAAGTCACGGGCCATCAGCAGCCCTTGGCCTGATTTTAACACCCTGGCAAGCAACCAGGCTGCTGGGGAGCCTGACGGTTGGGTAGACACGTAGAGAAAGGGACAGAGGGAGGGAGGGAGGGAGGGAGAAGAGGTGAGACTCCCAGCCAGCCCCGGCTTCCACCCTAAGAGAGGATTCCAGTAGGTTGGCAAGCTTTTCCCGGGGGTCCGCAGCCCTTCTGCCCTGCCCTGCCCGCCCCCATTCCTCCCTCCCCCTCCTCCTCCTGCCACCTCTCACCTGCACTTCATAGACCTGCAGGAGCACGGCAAAGTTGGTAGTATGATTACAGGAACAGGTGGTGAATTCCGCATGGGAGCTGATCACCGAGCAGCCTGCGGTAGACCAGCTTCCGCCTCCTTCGGGACTAGAGGGTGAGAGGGACGAATGAGACAGGGAGGGCGAGGAAGATGCAGAAGCGCCCCCCAAAAAAGGCCCCACCCACCGACACCCCCTGAGGCTACGGAGTCACGGGGAGTGGGATTCCCCATCAAGCCCAACCACCTGGGCAGAAGCACAGAAGGACAGGTCTCAAGGTTGATGAGCATTCTGCAACATGGCATCCTTCTCAAGGTGCTGGACTACAAAGCCCATCGTTCCCCAACCAGTACAGTGACTGGGGAAAGACTGGTCTGCATAATCAAAATCTGGGATGAAGCGGGTTAATCTCCAGTCAAGCACTGGAAAAGCCTACTGAAAAGGTGGGCGTTTTTTTTTAAACCTGTTATAAGCAGATCTGAGAAATAACTGCTTACAAGTTAGGTACTCACCTCTAGGTAAACACTTTGGAGATGGAAGGGGTATCTACATTACATTTCAAAAATGGCATATCAATAGTTACAAGATTACACTGTCGTTTCATGTCACAAAACAATGTTTTCTAATTACTCTATGCTGTAGAAGGGCCTTTTCAGAAGTTTCTAGATGCTTTTTGAGAGAAATTTGCCAAGTTTTGGGCCTCCCCTATGGTCCACTCTTAGCGGCCAAGGAAATACTTTATATTCAGTTTTTTGCCATTGTTGTTGTATTTCCAAAGCGTAATGTCAGAGGGAACCGGAAAATACCTGTATTAAATTGAAATCAAATTATTAAATTGGAAGCGATTCCCAGGGTGAGTGATGGATTACGTCTTTGGAAAAGAGGATTCAAATCCCCCGCTCAGCCATAGAAACTGACTGGGGGAGTGGAACGGTTAAGGTATGGTTTTATCAGTTATATCCCCCCCCGAGTTTTTTTTTTTGGCCAAGCAGGATTCGAACTCAGGTCTCCTCGGTCCTAGTCCACCACTCTACCCACCACACCACATATAATCAGATAATATGTCCCTGTATTTTCTTTTAATTGTTTGGCTGCTGGAAAGGGCAACCCAAGGCCAGAATGAGATGCACAACATAGCAGACTGCTTTTGCAAACTTATCCCCTCTAAAGTAACACAACATGTTCCTTTTCTAAAACAAAAAAAGTAAAAATTAAAAAAAAAACGTTTCAAGTGCTCCTAATTAAGCTTCTTGGCCACGAGCCAGGTGGGAGGCTGCCGAGAGAAGGATCACTGGACCCTGTCCTCTGCTGGGGAGGAGAGGATCAGGGGTCACAAATATCTATCACTCAAAATTTGCACCCAAGTTTGGGGGGGGGGCGTGCAAAAGATCTCGGTTTGAGAAACGAGTTCAATGGGGCGGAAAGAAGACGAGGAACGAGCTAACCATGTCCTGTGCATGATGATATTTATGTCCAGCCTGACATTTCGCATTCCTTACGGCCCATAATTCTCCACGCAGCTCTTCTCTGTCCCGCCCTGGAGGCATCAGTCAGGGGAAAGGGGTTCGGGAAAGGTTACGAGTCCTTGCAGATAATGTGGCCCAAGAAAGCCTCCCCAAGCAAGGACGGCTCCCTCATACGCCACATGTCTGGCAAGGGTGTAAGAACAAGCATATACCTGTCCACCAGCCTCTGATAAGGTTTACACTGTTTGCACCACGGAATGATACAGAGGGTGGAGAAGCTGATTTCCCCAACCCCGGGCTCTCCAGAAAGCTTTGGATCATTGCCCACTTCTCTCTCTCTCTCTCTCTCTCTCTCTGGAAAATAGCTCACCTTCTGCTGAAGTTCCAGAAGGCACAAAAGGGCATCACCAGCTCATCCGGGAGAGCCTGCCAGAGGAAAGGGTCACAAAAGAAAGTTTGAGTATCCAAGAGAAGAAACTCTGTAAAAACTGGCACTCCGAACAAACTGTTCTCGGGAAGAAGAACACAGAAATGGGGTGGGAGGAA